AATAATCCATCCACTATCGTCAAACTATCGAGCTGAAACTTGGCGAGTAGACTCATTCGCCGATAACAAGAAATTCTATTAAAATTTATGCCCCCCCCCCCACCCTTTCCCCTTTTCCTCGCCATCCAAATCCCCAAATGATCGGATTTTCCTGTTTTTTCAAGGGCAAGATGAAGAAATTATAAGTTGCCCCTGATTTCATGAAATATCATTCCTGATAACTGCGCTAAATAAGGCTCTTAAAATATCGCAAGTGCGTTTGGTTGCGTAATATTTTCTTTTGTTTTTCTGAAACAGTTGGTGAAATAAATCTGCGGTGTACAAGCGGGTGGGGCATTAGAATATTAATATTTAAAAAATCTTGAAAAACGCCCCCCCCCCCCCCCAAAAAAAAAAAAATATTAAAAAAAAAAGTCTTTAAAGGGTTGTTTAATTAAAATGTTAAAAATGTTAGAAATGACATAATCGTGTCGAATTTTTGGATCATACTTCTTAGCGCAACTTGGTAACTTATTCACTTTGTGACGGAAATGGACGATTGTATTGGTGCTATTCTCTTGTCAACGAGTGATCATTTTTCCTTTTTATTCGATCATCTATCTTACAATTGAATAAACATATTTGACTTATTGAGATCTTTTTTTTTTAGCCCATTTTTAAAAATATTTCACTACGTCAACTTTAAAAAGGTAGGTTTTCTTAACACTGTCTAGTTATACACCCATACAAAAACTTATATCATTATAAACTAAATTTAGAAGTTTGAGTAGTTTAAAATTTAAACTAAACTCACACATACACACGCAGTGACAATATACAAACAATGGATGCATTTATTTACTTAAAATACATATATATACATACATTCAAGAAAGAATATGTTGATTATCCACCAAACTTTGAAGTTCACGTATTTTAAGCTTCGAACAAATTTAGAATGTACGAAATTACAGAGACTTAATATGAGCCTCTGAGAATGATAGAGGGTGTCCACTCACCTGAACAGCCTCAAGACATCTCTCTACCACAACAGCCCCAAGACTTCTATCTGTCACAACAGCGTAAAGACATCTATCTAAGACAACAGCCCCAAGACATGTATCTACCACAACAGCAACAAGACATCCATCTACCACACCAGCAACAAGACACACATCTACCACAACAGCCCAAGACTTCCATCTACCACAACAGGCTTAAGGCATCCTTCTATTTACCACAATAGCCTAATTACATCTATTTACTACAAAAGCCTAGGATGTCTATTGGCTACAAAACTTACGATTTATTTTGATTATATTATTATTATTATTTAGGCATTTTTGTATAGCGCTTACCTTACAGCTCTAAGCGCTTTACAATTATTAAAAATATGTAAACTATTTAAACTGCTAAATCGAAATAAAAATATCAACAGCTTCCATGCATCTACTCACCGCATCAGCCTAATGGCATCTACTCACCACATCATCCGAAAGATGTCCATCTCATAACAGAGAAGTACGAACCAGTACAAGAAGAGATGACACAGATGGCCCGTAACTGCCGTGTACCAGTTGGCCAATTCTGGGTTCGTTTCAAAGTAGCCCAAAAAAAAACCTTTTAGAAAAAAAAAAAAAAAAAAGAAAAAAAAAAAAACTATATGCAAA